AGGTGTGTGTTCCTCTTCTCATGTGTACGTGCCTTGAGATGGAAAACTGATGGTAGATGACACTCGCCCTTTAAGTGCGAGGACAGAAACTGAGCCTGATGGACTGTGACGGACACAGTGGGTCTGTCCCCGGATGGGACACGCAGGTTGGACATACACACACACAAACACACAGGCCATGGTTGTCATTAATGTCGTCAAAAAGGACAGAGGAGAAGAGAGGAGATGTTTCATCCAGTGTGTCTCCTTCCTCCCTCCACCTTTCTGTAAGTCCTGCCTGTAGCAGTTTCCTGGCTTCAACTGGACAGATTTACATCCCCCTCCTGCTAACAAACATCTTGGGCACAGCACACTTCAGCTGATGCCTACTACAGAGAATTTCCCCTCCAATCCTGCAGGGGTCAGCCTTGTATCAGAGGGATGATTGGAGGAGTGACTCTATCCTGTTGCTCCTCTGCTCCTTTTGATTGCTAGTGCAGTCAACTCCAGTTTTTCACTATATTCACTGTCCTTTTCCAACAAACGGTCCTTCTTCTTCCCTCTCCTCCCATCAGAGCCTGGAGGTGACACGAGCAGGGGACATAGTCGTGAGTAGACTGCCGCAGACAGCCCTCCAGCCTCAACCTCGCCAAAGCCCGGAGCTGGGTTCGGGCAGGGAGGCCTGTGACGGGGGCACGAGGCCGGGCATGAGTCAGAGGGAGTGAGTGGCGTCCTGTTACTGGAGCTGTCTGTCAAGAGCGAGACAGCACAGTGTTCTTCTCAGGGCATTTACAGTGTGTTTGACCTTTGTGTCTGACGTTTTATCACACAGATATACTGTAATACTTACACACATTGTTCTCTTTCTTTACATTCATGGAGTATGAAAAAACAACAAACAATCACTGTTGCTGTCATGTATTTCTGTGGTAAGTGTGTACGAGTGTTTGTTGTTGGATGGAGTAGTGATGGAGATGAAGAATATGGGGAGAAGATGTTTGTTTGGGGTGATACAGATTTGTGTGTGTGTGTGTGTTTGTTTGTGTGTGAAGAAGCAGGACTTGGGGGCTGCCATTATGTGAGCACATTAACTTCACTAAAGTGCACAGAAGCTGGGTGGAGTGGATTAATACGCTCTGCTGATACTGCAGAACCAACGGCCATCAAAGACGCAATAGGAAAAGCCAATTAAGATGTGGACTCTGGTGTGGTGCCCTTATTGATCTATTACTGATCAAAACTAATGCGCCACAATTGTACATATTAAAGGATAGCCCTGGTGCTTTTCTATAACACAGGGTCAGAAAGTCAGAAACTATTAAGAGTTGGACTAACACATCCCGGTTTGGCTCTTTTCATGGGATTTGGTGACAATATCAAATATTTTCTGTATATCAGCCGGCTTATCCTTTAAGATATGTTCATGTATTGTTATGTTAAAGTTAATTCTCCATGCTTGTATTTGAACAATTTCAGATTTCAGTTTTCTGTATAGTAGTACTGAGGCATACAGGCATTATACACACCCACACACAAATGTGCCATGCAGTACAGAGGCAGTCAGAGTGACGGATCGCACGCTTGGTTCAATTACATTAGAATGATGGAGTTGGTTATGTGCTGGAAAAAGAGCCCCAGACTTACAGCCTGAAAGATAGTGGAGCAAGATGGGAGAAGAGTTATGACCAGACTGAGTGACGGGGAGAGAAAGGGAAAGAGGAGTTATAGCTACAACTGGAAGAAGAGAAAGGGGCAGAGCTCAGACTGCATCCAAAATAATCTACTGGTGTGAAAAACTTTTACTTGTCATTATTTAGTCCAAAGAGAAACTAAAAGATTGTGAAGAGATGGGTGTGAAGCAAAGGTGAGTAACACCTCTGATGGCAGGGGTGGCCCCTCAGGTTGGGGATCAGATCGGCTGTCTGGCAGTTGACAGCTGACACTGCATACATCCTTATTAAAAAATAAGGATGTTTCACGCTGGCACACACACACACACACACACACACACACACACACACACAAAACATACATCCACGAGCACACTGTCACAAAGGAAGGGAACATCCATGCAGACGAGTATGACACATACCCATGTACTGCACACACATACATACAGCACAAGACCTCAAAATATCATGTGTCCGTGACACACACAACTGTAGAAGCTCACACACACACACACACACACACACATACGTGCACGTGGGTATACACAAGCGCCTGTGAAAGCTGACACCGTTTGGAGCAGTGAGGGAGGAAAGTTACATTAATGATTCTGATCGCCAGGCTTTACCAAGGCGGTTATCTGCGAACACGATCCAGCAGGGCCATTTAAACAGCAAGGCCTTGACATAGGGAGCAGACAGGCTGGGCAGAAAGCACCACTGATCAAATAGGCCCATTTTCCTCCAGGCTGCTCTGCACTCAGCGGAGAGTTCCTTCAATAATGATATATCAGATTGAAGATAGACATCCATGTCTGACCAAAACTGCTCTGAAATGAAAAGCTGAGCAAAGGGCTGTCAGCATCAAAGTGGTCATTTTCTCACAATTAGCATATTATCCAGTCGCTCTGTCCAATGATTTAGCTGTCATGACAGTTTCATTTTCTTTATTATCTCGGGATGGCAATGTCAGTCTGTCTGTCTGTCCTCCTCCAGACTGCAATATCTCAACAACTATTGGATGGGTTGTCATGAAATTTGGTACAAAATCAAAAATTCCCTGAGAGAATAAATCCTACGGACTTCGGTGATCTGGATATACTGACAGTGGATCCAGACTATTCCTCTATTGCCACCATGGGGTTGATATTTTAGTTTTTTTGTGAAATGTTTCAACATCTATTAGATGGATCACCTTAAAATATGGTGCAGATATTCATGTTCTCCTCACAATGATTTGTAATAACTAACTGATCCTTTGATATTCCCATCAGCCTTAGCTATACATTGTGTTTTGGGGTAATTAGCCTATTAAATGTTAGCATACTAATATGCTGAACATGGTAAACATTACATCTGCTAAATTATCAGCATGTTTTTTCGGCATTGTAACTAATTAGCAATTAGGTCAAAGAACAGTTGTAGACTCTTAGACTAAAATGTTTTTAGGTTACAAATTTCATATTATTAGCTTACTCTGTTTGTTTATGATTAACAGGCCCAGAATCCTACATTGGACAATAACTTTTTCTGCTTGTGAACCCCTAATATGAAGCCAAGCGTGACAGTTTGCTTGTCAGTAAGTTGTGACAAGCAAACTGAGTCTTCACTTGAAGACTTATTTTCCCTTCTCAGATTGTAACAATGAACAACAATTAAACTTCATTGCGTGGCAGAACGTTTTTATTATTTCCTACCCTGATAATGATGAAATAACCCCTTGAAATCAACAACTTATATGAGCCCAGACCCCAGGTAAACTACTGCATTAAAGGTGGGGAAATACGCAATCTCATTCCTGTACACTAAATATGAAGCTAGAGCTTAGCACAAATACTGGAGACTGAGGTAAACCACAAGCAAAAATCAAGTTATATAACCTCCTTAAAACATCAAATTGTCATTTTTATACTTTTGTTTTTGTAGCCTACAGATTAAAGCTGCAGTATATGAAAAAAATATTTTTATAAACGTTACCTACTGCAGCTTTAAATAAATTAAGATTTATAACCAGGTTCGGGAACAAAGACTGCGCCTCAAATGCATCACATTTCCACACAAAAAGTACTTAAGCACACCTTATCCGTTCACTCCTGCTTTGACTCAGTTTTCACATGCCTTCACCCCAAACCCTTTCTTTTTCCCTACTTTTTCTCCCCTTTTCCTTTCTCCCTTTCTCTCTTGTTCAAATACAGGATCCACTGGGCTCTAACTTCTTACAGCAAAGAAGAGACGGCTCCCCCTCTCCAAACCACCACCCTGATTTCACCCCTTCCCCCTTCATCCCTCAACCCTCTCCCCATCACTTCATCCCTCATTCATTCACCTTTATCAATTATACGCAATAAACTTCTTATTCCACATCCTCATTTTGTTAGAGAAACATGTTAATTGGTTGGAAGTGCTCTTCATGCTTAGCTAACTGGCTACTGGCTGTGGATTCATATTTACCATTCAAACGAGAGTGGTATCCATCTTCTCATCTAATGCTTGGCAAGAAAGCCAAGAAATGTATTCCCCAAAACTATTCATTTAAATCTCAATTATACATCTGGGAATGGCTCAGGGGTTTTAACGACAGTGCTACTGAAAGACGAATGACCTCTGTTTGACCCTTTGAAGAAATCAGGCTTTAAATGCATCTGCTGGTATAGTATATGCAAAACGTGCTGCTGGTAATAAATGATCAGTAATTATACTAATGTTTTTGTACCTCTTTACTAATTACTTTAATAATACCTAATCATTCCTGTAGTCATTTATTCATATTTCTGACACGCATAGCAACATGGCATGGCAAATCTATGGTTGGTATGGCAACTATCACTTGACATTACAATACAATCTATCTTAATTGAATCCGTCATCTTAATCCAAAGTCTACCATTAACTGCTTTTGTTAATTGTAAGGCAGCAGAGAGACACTGCAGCCATTCAACGTCCTGTCAGCCTCCTTCCAAGTCTATTTGATGTTCAGACAAAAAAGTGACGCACATAAAAGTGGACAGCTGAACCTGTGACCCCTCTTCCTTCCCAAATTAAAATTTGAGTATAGTAAAAAATTAATAACTGAGAGCACACACAATCCAATTTGAATTCATTGTGTTGTCGACAAGCCGCTGGGGGGACAGAATGAGCAGAAATTAACCACTGGACCACAGGAGATAGGGCCTGTTAAATCTGTGCATGGCTAACAGGGTGCTGCTTTCAGGCAAGATTATGATTGACTTGTTTTTATACACACACACACACACACACACACACACAGAGAGAGAGAGAGAGAGGGGGGGGGTATCCTTGTCCTATCTTTATTTATTTGAATGTCTTTGGCCGGACGGCCTGTACTCTGGACGTCTGCTTTTCTCAAGAGAGCGACACCTGGTGACGTCACCCTTGCAAATCACATCAATGCCAACTCACACACAACACAAACACTACTTGTGTGTGTGTGTGTGTGTGTGTGTGTGTGTGTGTGTGTGTGTGTGTGGATGGAGACGCGGAGAGGGAGGGTGCGCAGAGAGTAACACTACAGCGCAGCGGAGAGCCACAGTCACACAGAGAAGCGAGAGCGCAGTGGAAGGACGCACTTTCCATCGCGCTCCTGACAAAAACAGAGCTGGCTGCTGGAGAGTGGTGTGCCACAGACCCACACACACACACACACACACACACACACACACACACACACAAGACAAACACACACGGAGAGATTTCGGGGAGTCTACGTCCAGGATTGAGAGATTTTGCGCAAGGCATGGTGTTTGTTTGGAAAGTAAATAAACAATGCACTCTGCTGGCGACAACTAATTCACGAAGATGAGTCACCGAGGGGGTGATGGACAACATTCAGTGCTTCTGTGGTCTTCTCACGCGGGACAAAGTCCGGTAAACTGCACGATTCTCACCCACAGAGCGATAAGCGTCTCTCGGTCACCTTCGGAAATGATGTCTTGTGGCGACGTGCGTGGCGCGCCAGAGTGCGTGTGAGTGACTGACCGATAGTCTTTCTGAGAAAGAAAGAGAGGCTGGATATAAACAGCAGCCAGGCTTTCAGGCAGCGACAGCCAGGCACTCAGAGCAGCCATCTCGCCTCTCTCACAGCTCCTCAGACCCATGCAGGATGCCCGGAGAGCGCCGGGGAGTCCTGGTCCAGCTCAGCCCGAGTTCATGACGCTCTGGGCGGCCTCGTCATGCGTCTCTTGCCCGAGCCCAGCGCCCAGTCCCTCCGGCTCCTTTTCCTCTTTATCTTCGTGATGGGGGTGACCCCTTCCCCGGCTCTCACAGCCGGCTGCCCAGACAGATGCGTGTGCGACGACCAGTTGGTGGTCCAGTGCGCCGGGCAGGAGCTCACCCAGTTCCCCAATGACCTGCCCCTGGCAACCCGGCAGCTCATCATCTCCAACAACCGCATCGTGGACCTTCCGGCGTTGCAGCTCAACTACCTGTCCGATCTGGTCTATCTGGACTGCAGCAACAACTCTCTGACTGAGATCTCAGAGTCCACCTTCGGGAATTTGCGGAAACTCGCCTACCTAGACTTGTCGTTCAACACCCTGCTGCAGATCGAGGACCGGACTTTCGGGCCACTGGCGTCTCTGGTGATGCTCCGGCTGACGGATAATCCGAGTCTGGGGGAGATCCACCCGGACGCCTTCTCGGAGAACATGGCTCTGCAGGTGCTGGATGTGAGCCGGAACAACCTGACGGCCCTCAACATCAGCAGTCTGATCGCCCTGCCCGCTCTGAGATCTCTGGGGCTCAGCGGCAACCCCTGGAGCTGCGACTGTGACACGGAGGACCTCTGCCTCTGGGTGCAGATAGAGGGCTTCAAGTTCCAAGGTGAGGATGGATGGAGTCAGAAAGATGTTCAACACATAGTTTTCGATCCCAGCAAGTACACATTAAAGGCTTTTTATGGCAGTGGCAACTCCCAATAATAATAAAAATTGAAATGTCCTGCCTGCATCGTTTGCCAGAAATGAGCCTGTAAGCTCTCTGCCGTGTTCATGATCAGGTGGCAGCAGTCAGACCTCTTGCAGGTGGTCCCTTGTTTGTTTGGCTCCAGAAGTGGGATCCTCTTGCAAACAAACTGACAAACTTAACAAACGCTCCAAGGTCTTATGTTATTGTCACATCAGCTCATTTAGATAATTTGATTGTGGGCGCTTGGTCAATTTAGTCCCTGGTGGGCAACTTATTGCACTACTGCTCTCCCTTTATTTAGTTTTTTTTATATGTATGCACACACACTTCCATGTGCAGTCATGTGCGCAGATGCAAACGCGCTCTCTCTAAGGCACACTCAAACTCCAGAGCTAATGGTTTGACCTCAGAGTCAGAGCAATCTGAAGATTTGGTCCCCCTGCTCCTCTCTGCAACACAATCCCCTCAAACTGCCCTTCACGTCTCAATAATGTCTCAAGTTTACCCCAACAAATCAGCAGGTTTGTGTTACAGTTACTTAGAGACAGCAGGGAATTGAATTAGAGCGACCCAAGAAATCAACAGTGGCCCTTACGACCTTCTCAGTGAGGGCAAGCTCCGGTGATCTCTGCTGACACCTTTTAATTGAGCTTAGCTCTAAGCAGGTGAACCAGGTTAGGGCTTGTAACAATGTGGCCTTGCTTATAATAGATGTCAGTGTAGATCCCATTGATCTTATTAAACTGTCTTCCTGTGTCCTGAAGGCAGAGACAGTGATGAGAGGATGATTGTGTCCTTTTGTACCTGTTTTTTTCTGGCTAGCCCCTCCGCATGCACACACGCACACACACGCACACACAGCATGCACCTGGCTGTGCTGGCGCTCCCACCGTCGCATGCTTTGGCCCCTTCAGTCCAGATGGTTAATGATGGTGCTCAAAAAAGCTGGACTCCTATGCTCCCATTAAGGACAGCGTGTATATGTGTGGTGTTTGTGTGCAAGTGACTCACTCCACTTAAGTGTGTGTGAGTCAGTGTGTGATCTGGGGATTAGGGGAGACCCTAAAGCCGGTGTCTGTGGGAAACAGGAATAAGACTAAAGGACAAGGAGCCCAAGAGGAAGGCCACTTGAAGACAGCAGCTCCCCAAAGTTGTTATCCACCTTCAGTTACACACCACACTGAAGTACACTCAAAAACTGGCACACACAGGCACACACACTCATTTTTATCTCGCCAACAGCCCAACATTTTGGCAAAAAGAGAGAAAGGCTTTTCAGTCGTAAGTGACACAACACAACACACCCACAGCCTGGCTATTGTGTTTTCAGCACACACACCTGCGCTGGTGAAAATCCCAAGCTAATAACCATTAAAGCTGTATTCCACATCACGCCACACTTCAAAAAGTTATAAATTTGACCTAACTTCTGTACGGCCTCGGGAACACACACTGACTCTCTGACTGACGAATGGTCTATCGATATAGCACTCATAAACAGCTACAGTAACCAGTTTAACAGAGTGAATGAGGTCAAGTGAGCACGTGCGTGAGAGAGCGAGCATGTAGTGTGTTTCTGTGGTTATTACGAATCCCCTCCGATCTGACTGCAGGGCTGTGAGTCTAATGTACAGAGATTCCAGCTGTCGCTGCCTCTCAGTGTGAATATGAATCAGGTGCATGTAAATGTGTGCGCATGTGTGTGTGTGTGTGTGTGTGTGTGTGTGTGTGTGTGTGTGTGTGTGTGTGTGTGTGCAACCTCTTCACACACTAACTCATTCAGCAACCTTTAATATTGCTGCTGATTGTGTAGGTTTTTAATTAGTACATTGATTATTGTGGGAAAAATCTTGTTTGGTCTGATTGTTTATTTACTTTGTTTGTGTTCAGTTTTATGTATTTTGTGGTTGCTTGTGTTTGCCTGTGTGTAAGCAAGTCACTGATTTTATCTTTGTGTTTGTGTTTGTGTCAGGCGTGTGTTGCTGCGTTTGTTGCTGAGAAAGGTTGACAGCCACCAAAGTCAAAGCGTGGCTTCAGGTTGGCAGGTGCATTTAAGTTGTGTCTGTCCTGTCCATAAGAAAGAAAGACAACAAGAGAGAAGGGGAAGTGAAATGAAGACAGAAGGGGCATGTTTCTTTAGCAAGTGCAAGAAAAGATGAGGACATAATCTGAATGACATTGAGTACAATGTGTCTGAGCTGGTTGTATGTTTCTTCCTGCGCTGACCCTGCTATGTGCAACAGAATAATGAAGAGACAAATGATACGTTCCAATGGACAGTAACCAAAATCATTGTGTAACAGTTGTTATATCATAAAAGAGAGAAAATTAAAGGAAAGAGAACAAAGAAATTAGCTTAACTTGAACTATAATTGATATTTTTTATAATAACAATGTAATAAATGACGACGTGAAAACAATGCGAAAGGGGTCTTTGGTACTGATGAACCTACAAAGAATTATCTGAATTATCTCTGCTTTATAGTGAGTTTCTGCTCATTGTTAAGATACAAATTACATCCTAATGTAAAAAATAAAATAAAATAAAGTAAGGACTATCTGTGAAAAAGGACTCATGTGATTAAGCAATTAATGTCCACAGTGGACTTTTATAATGTCTTTTACAGAACTTTAAGTACTAGCTGAGCTAAACTTTTAAAATTGGTCAAAGTATGAGTCTACAGCTGCAGTTTTACTTAACATAGCCTCCTTTTTTTTGTTGTTAGTCATAAGGGGTTGCTCTTTTATTTCTAGGGAAACACCTCTAGAACAAAAACACCTCTAGAACAATAGGTTATTCATCATTTTTGATACACACACACACACACCTGGATTGTTACAGTATAGGTTCAAATAGAAAAATTATAATCTGTTGCTTTTTCTTGGTCCAGTATTGCCATTGTACAAAACTAGGAATCATGTTATATAGTATGGGATTAAACGAGTAACCCCTAGTGACTAACGACTAAATATAGTTTGATACAGAGAGAATCTCAAACACTACAATGAGTTATATAAAATGTTTGGTACCGTTTGATTCAATTTCAATAACAATATGCTTTGATCCTGCATGAATCTGATATTTAACAGGTCAAATGAATATTAAAGTTACTTTTGTCTGATGTAAAATTAATTGTCTCCCAATTAAGGCAGGATTAATTTAAGATTTTGTCATGTGTATCCCTGTCCTGATGGTTTACAGCAGATTTTGTGTTTCCACCTCTTACAGAAAAAGATCTGTGAGGTTTTTCCTTAACATACTAAATATAGTCATTCGTCATTATTGGGTTAAAGGTCAGGTCCTTTTAACAGTTTTTGTAAACTGCCTTTATACTGTGTACTGACTGCCGTTCGTTCATATTATCAGTACTGTTTGTCTTCGTTTGGATTTCCATGACCAGATCGCTTGACATTAAATAATTTAGCCTTTTAGCACTTTTAAATTGGTTTGGAGGCTTTTAGATCTAAAAGTTGTCCTATGAGACTCTCTGACTTTCCTGTCCTGAACACCTAAATATTCTTGATCATCAGTTTTCTGTGCTGGGGGAATATACCTACCTTTCCTGTCTTGTTATAATGGAATTTCAGTTTGTTGAATGACCTGCAGCGAGTTCAGCAGGTCGATTTTGACAAGTGTCTCGGCTAAATACACTGAACATAAGTGGCTTGTCCTGGGCTGGCAGAGTTGGTGGCGTTATGGCTCCAGCGTTTGGGAAAGTATTTCTGGCTGCTCGTTGGTGCCCTGGACAGCTCACAGACCAGAGGCAAAGAGCCAAGGCAGAGGGCCACGCACAGGGCAAGAGTTAAATATTCATAAAAAGAGAAAGAGAAACAGAAGTCTATGGGTTCAAAGAGAGGAAGAATGAAAGAGCTATGTTTTTTTTTTCTATTGCGCCAATTGAATTTGATTTATTTTTAATGGAAGTGAATCTTAGATTACTTGAGAGATGAGAGGAGAGAAGAGGCTGAGTGAAAAAGCGTGACTAAAGAATAGAGGACAAAAAGATGAGATAAGACAGAGGGATGAAAAATTGGGATTACAGATTAAGATGGACTTTGCAACAGAGAGATACAGAGAGGGAAAAGAAGAAAAAAACAGGCAGACAATAAAGGAGTTACCAATCGTCTGTGCCCCAGATCTGTCACTCAAATCCATTAAAACATTTATTATGACAAGGGGGCATCGATTCAATTTAATACAGGTAGACGATACATTATTTATCAGCTGGAGCGATTCCTCAGAACCATCTGGTGCTTGGAAGCATATCGAATTCAACTGGCCTACTTGTTTAGCGTAGCCTGTATATATATTTTTATGTCTCTGTGCATTTTACGGTGCAAGCTTAATACCAAGATTGATGTGATGCTTGCGTGGGCGTGTTTGTGATGTGATCACCTGAGGCACGGAGGGGAGGTAGCTCAGGTGTGTGAGTCTGTGTGTCTGTGACACTGAGTGTGTGTGTGTGTGTGTGTCCAGCCAATATTCGAGCCAAGAGAATATAATTGGAAAAGAGAGCGGAGAGTGCAAAGATGACAGAGCAAAACTGAGAGAAGTGGAAGGACGTAGAAGAAGATGGAAATGGAGTGATAAAGGCTGAGGGGAGACACGAAGGGAGAATAACGTGCCAGAGTGGGAATGAAAAGTGGGAGGTGATAAAGACTGATAAGAAGAGTGATTGAGGGAAGAGGAGAGAGAGAGAGAGAGAGCTGTTGCTATCTGACCTTCAGTCTCTCTCCACTAGTCTTCTGCTAGAGGAAGAAGGGATCATATGGAGAAATGATGGAAAAGAGGATGGCGGTAATCTGACTAATGCCGTATTTGAGAGGAGAGGAGTGAGAAGGCGTGTGTTATTCAGCCCTAGTGGATGTGATGGAGAAAAGGTCAGCTATTCTTAGTCTTTGCCAACCCCAGTATG